GGAAAATTAGTCAAAGTCTTAATAAAGAAAGACTGTGAAATGGCAGGACATTATGATGAGGGCTGGTTTGAAGAGCCACAGGATTTTGATTGGTTCAGAATGTTGACATTGTGTTGCAACTATTAAGAGTGCTGAAATCCTTTGATGGGTGACTAGTAATCTGGAAGTGTATTTAAAAATATATATTGTTTTGGATGTGGTTCTCTGCAGTCGCCTCCTGAATGTAGAGGCTGTATTTCAGTAATCTTTTCACTTGGAGCCTGCATCATTTTCTTTTGGGTTTCTAAGAGGGATACCTCCAGTCTATGAACCACTTTTTGAACTTCTCCAAAAGTTTGGGGTCAGGAGTGGGATGACTGGAACCCTGTGGAGTTTCAGGAACTGGACTGGATTGGGGAGACCTGGGACTGGCAGAGGTGCCTCAAAAACAACCAGAGTGGTAAGGGATCCAGCGTTTTAAAAAACCCTCACTGTTTGCCTGTCCTGGCCTCACCATCATTTAGCTCTAGCTTTTCAGAGGCTTGCATGAAGGTAAGAGTCTTAATTCCTATGTTATTTAATGCAGGCTTTAACTGCAAATTTCTTTCATTTTGTTTCACAAGGTATTTTCGAGCTGGTTTGTTGTTTTTGTTGAAATAACATTTTAGTTGTTGCAGGTTATACTGATGGATTTTTGCTGGATTTGCTGGGTTGCAACCAAAAGAATTATATAGGGGAATTTTCTGTTGTTCTGATTTGTTTTGTTAATATGAAAACCACAGATAAAATACAAAAAGCTAAAAAGGTGCAAAAGGCTATCGTTTAAAAGTAATTAAACCCCTATAGAATTAACCCCCCCAAAATCAAATCTATTAAAATGTAGATAATAAAAAGAGCACTACACTATTAAAAGAGCTTTCCTTAGTTCCCAAACGCCTATCAAGAATTTTTTTTTAAATGATATTTATTAAAGTTTCAAAAAATACAAGAAATACAGAATACAGAAAAAAGAATAAAGTTTTTGAAATATAACAACAAAGTAAAAAATAAAAAGAAACATACAAAGTAAAGCAGTTAAAAAAACAACATTAATTTTCCATAACCTATCTTCCCTACACTTATTTCCCCGGACCTCCTCGTACCTCCCTTTTTTGTATTCCAGTTCAGTTTGTTAGTTCAGCAAATCCTTACCATTACCCAATTGTAAACCTTTTTTCATATCTCTTAAAGCATTACAGCTAAAAACCTCTTAGTTTCTAGCCAACATCCTTCTAGCATTCATTAATTTTACAATATTTCTGTAAATAGTCTTTAAATTTCTTCCAGTCTTCTTTGACCGACTCTTCTCCCTGGTCTCGGATTCTGCCAGTCATTTCCGCCAATTCCATATAGTCAATCACCTTCATCTGCCATTCTTCCAGAGTGGGTAGATCTTGTGTCTTCCAATACTTTGCGATGAGTATTCTTGCTGCTGTTGTAGCATACATAAAAAAGGTTCTGTCCTTCTTTGGCACCAATCGGCCAACAATGCCCAGAAGAAAGGCCTCTGGTTTCTTCAGAAAGGTATATTTAAATACCTTTTTTATTTCATTATAAATCATTTCCCAGAAAGCCTTAATCTTTGGGCACGTCCACCAAAGGTGAAAGAATGTACCTTCAGTTTCTTTACATTTCCAACATTTATTATCGGGCAAATGATAGATTTTTGCAAGCTTGACTGGGGTCATGTACCACCTGTATATCATTTTCATAATATTCTCTCTTAAGGCGTTACATGCCGTAAACTTCATACCTGTGGTCCATAACTGTTCCCAGTCAGCAAACATAATATTATGTCCAACATCTTGTGCCCATTTAATCATAGCAGATTTCACCGTTTCATCCTGAGTATTCCATTTCAACAGCAAGTTATACATTCTTGACAAATTCTTAGTTTTGGGTTCTAACAATTCTGTTTCTAATTTTGATTTTTCCACCTGGAAGCCAATTTTCTTGTCCAAATTATATGCCTCCATTATCTGATAATAATGAAGCCAATCTCTCACTTTGTTTTTAATTTCTCGAAACTCTGCAATTTCAATTTGTCTCCATCTTGTTCCAAAATTTCCCAATATTTTGGCCATTTGGCCTCCATATTGAGCCTTTTCAGAGCTTTCGCTTCCATCAGTGACAACCACCTTGGGGTTTTATTTTCCAATAAATCCTTATATCTTATCCAAACATTGAGCAGTGCTTTCCTAACAATATGATTTTTAAATGCTTTATGTGCTTTGACCTTATCATACCATAAATATGCATGCCATCCAAATACGTTATTAAAACCTTCTAAATCCAAAACGTCTGTATTTTCAAGAAGTAGCCATTCTTTCAGCCCCCAAACGCCTATCAAGAATAAAACAGTCTTTGCTTGCTGGCAGGACAACAAGTAGGGAGCCCAGTGCAAAATCCCCTAGACCTATTTGTTTGGAATTGAGTGACTATTTTTCGTCCCCCACTGAGCCTGCAAAATTCATCTAAAAGCAGTTATAACCATTTTTAAAAGCAATAAAAGTTGCCATAATAATTGGGGAAGCATAAAGCTTCTGTTCACTCCATTGGGATTCAGATTCAGTCCTGAGCTAAATCAAACAGCTCCCTAATCAAATCAGTCCAAGACAAATCAGGTTGTTTTCCAGAGCACCAAATGGGTGTCGGAAATGAATATTGTCATCAGCACACCCTACTACTGACTATCATGTTCACTTCAAAACACATCAGTTTGCTGCATTCAGTGCCAGTCCTATTCAGGGTTGACCCACTAAAGTTAACAGGCACAGCTAACTTGAGTCTATTCATTCCAGTGGGTCTGCTCTGAGTAGGGCTTAGTTGGCTACAACCCAATATGTTTTGCAAGAAGCACCTGCATAGGTAAAAATGGACATATTATCATTCCAAGTCAGGGGTGTTAGAGTGTTGAGTTTGTGTACCGGAAAGGTTGCAGCCTGAATAGCTCAGCTGGTTAGAGCGTGGTGCTGATAATGCCAAGGTTGCAAGTTCACTCCCCCTATGTGGAAACGGTATATTGCTACATTGTAGGACATTGAACTAGAATTGCTAGATGATCCTCAGTTTCCCTTCCAATTCTATGATTCTATGTTTTGAGGGTGGCCATGTAGCTTGTTTCACAGAAGACAGCCCTCAGTTTGAAGGGCTATTAGAGGACAGGCTTCTATCTGAAGGGTTGATTTGTCCAAGTCTGGTTTAAACATACAGAACTTTAAGAAGGGAGAGGAGGGAGGCCTTGAAATTGTCCGTCAACAGGTGCGGTGCCGAAACTATGGGCGTTTAGCTAGGAATTTTGAGCAGGGTGAGGCCTCCAGAGGGCGCCAGTTAGAATTGTTTCACCAACTCTCCCAGTATCTTTGCTGAGCTTTACCCCTCAACCTTCTATTTTCATCACAGGGAAGACAAATGCCAGTGACCCCTTCCCTGTCACAGGCCACACACCCACCCCGGCCAAACCACCATTCATTTGGGTGCAGTTCCTCCTCGGCTTCGGCTCACAGAGACAATCCTGCAGCTTGGCCTTCTAAAGGTTAAAATTAAGCCGACTCAGTTCGTATAGAGGATAGGAAAGGAATGTGGGAAGGAGGAATAAACTTGCAGAGGAAATAGTATCCCCCCCCCCCAGTCCTTTCCATGGCCTTGCATCACCTTTGAACTCAACAATTCCTTTCCTGCCAGCTTCCTGGCCAGTGTGAAGTGGCTTCTGTCACTCCTGAGCACTGCATGAGCTACCGGGCCCAATCGCTGTGCCTTTGGGTGAAGGGGAGTCCCAGGGCTGCAGGGATCTGCAAGGCAGGAAAGTGAGGAGGGGGATAGAGACAAGGGTGGGTGGTAGTGTTGGAAAATTCCATTCCACCTTAAGTTGCAGACGTTTGAAATTGTTACATGCACTACAGACTCAGGATCACTAGTCAGAAGTCTAGGGGTCTTGAGATGTTTGCAGATGCAAGTTTTGGAAGTGACACCACAGATGGCACAAGCCCGTCCAGGGTGTGCTACATGTACAACCAGTGTCTGTTTGACTGGTTGTGCAAGAAGCAGACAATAGTGAGCCTGAGTTCTTGTGAAACTGAACTCAATGCACTGTCCTATTCACTTATGGATTGTGAATGGTTGTTGCAACTGTTTCAGGACGTCAGGGTTAATGTGACGTGTCCTATACAGGTTTATAAAGGCAATGGGTCCTGTTTGGCTTTGCTAGCTTCAGAGAGTTGCAAGCAAAGAACCAAGCACTTGCAGATAAAGTTACATCGTGCAAAGGAGTCTATTCAGAAAGGACTCATTCAGGTGTCCTACATGCCAGGAAACGAAATTCCTGTTGTCTAAAGTTGTTAACAGGGAACAGGTATATGTACAACAGTTGCAGTTAGGTTGAAATACTGCATCACAGGTTACATGGAAAGGGGGAGGATGTTGGAAAATTCAATTCCACCATAACTTGCAGACATGTGAGATTGTTACATGTCACATGTCTGTTTACATTCCAGCACAGTTTGCTGGGAACTTCCATTGTGTGTAGCTTTTGAGGAGACAAGAGATGACATGTTTCCTTTGTCCTGATTTATACTCAATAAATCCGTAGCTTGTTAATATGTTTCCACAAGCCTCACACCACTTCTGTTTGCGCAGTATGCTCTGCTGATATAGTGTGCTCAGGCTTTGAAGTCTGAGTCACTGATTTACGTCGCACCAGAGGTTGGGGGATCATCACGGCTGGAAGGGCATGATCCAGCTGGGGGCTAGCCAGCTAGCATCTCGTCCCCCGAAGGATGCCGACAGGTAGATGCCTGGATTTTGACACCAGGCAGTGAATGAAGGAATAAATGGGGGACTAACTGATTGGGAGAGCTAATCAGGTGAGACCCTCCCCCAGTGCATCTCATAGGATGGGAACCTCCCACCACAACACCCACATCAGAGCTTCTACCTTTCCTCTGCCTGTGCTGTTTCCAGATGCAACAAGGAAATGTTACTTGGTTTAACTGTAAATATATATTTTTAAATGTCTAGAGGACACACACATGAAACCTAGGTTTTCTGCATATGTGGATAATGTTATGCTTCTCTGGTTATTTTCAGATCCCAGAAGATGCAAGCCTCTCGCCAGAGCAGGCAGGGTCATAGCCCAAATGAAGCAGAACCCCAGAACCAAACAAGGTCAAGCACAGAGAATCAGACTAGATCCAACCAGGATCCAGAAGCAACGTGCGAAAAGCATCAAGGGTGGGCCCCCTCAGCACTGTGGATTGAACTGGATGAATCTCAGGGTCCCCAGTGTGAGGAGAGCCAGTGTGGTGTAGTGGTTAGGAGCGGTGGACTCGTAATCTGGTGAACTGGGTTCGCTTCCCCACCCTTCCACATGCAGCTGCTGGGTGACCTTGGGCCAGTCACACTTCTCTGAAGTCTCTCAGCCTCACTCATCTCACAGAGTGTTTGTTGTGGGGGAGGAAGGGAAAGGAGAATGTTAGCCACTTTTGAGACTACTTTGGGTAGTGATAAAGCAGGATATCAAATCCAAACTCTTCTTCTTCTTCTTCTTCCCCTCCAGCTCCACAATTCTACAATTCTTTGGCCTTGCCTGATCATCTGGGTCCTTGACCTGGGGAGATGACAGATGTCGGATCATCTCAGATTTCTTCAGTTGAGTGCCGGCTTTAACTCGGACCCATCTCTAGGTGGTTTAGTGGGAGTGAGGCTGAAGAGAATATAAGGCAGAAATGATGACAGAGAAATGTCCTAGCTTGGGGCTCTGGGTGCAGAGAGGAGGGAAGCTCAGTATGAGGCCTTGAAACTTCTTGTTATAGGTTATGTTGGATATATTGTTGTGTAATACAATGGTACCTCAGGTTACAGATGCTTCAGGTTACAGACTCCGCTAACCCAGAAATAGTATCTCGAGTTAAGAACTTTGCTTCAGGATGAGAACAGAAATTGTGTGGTGGCGGCATGGCGGCAGCAGGAGGCCCCATTAACTAAAGTGGTACTAAAGTGGTACCTCAGGTTAAGAACAGTTTCAGGTTAAGAACAGACCTCCAGAACGAATTAAGTTCTTAACCCGAGGTACCACTGTATATTTTTTTAAAAACTTTGTATTCAAATAAAATACCTTTTATGCCCTCTATGAATAAATGTGTGTGTGTGTGTGTGTGTGTGTGTATGCATGAGTCTTTGACCCAGGTGGAAAAAAAAAAGCCTAGTTTCATCACTGGATAGTTCGCACCTGGAAAGGGGACTCAATAGGCCCATAACTCCCTTGGCAGACCAGAAGTCCAGTGCTGCGTTACGTTTTTGGATGATTAGATTTTTCCAGCTGGGGAGAAAAAGTTTCAGAGGTGTGCTGAAAAAGTTGCAACCTACCCTTAAGGTCCAACTCTTTCTTTCTCTCCACTGGAGGTTTTTAAACAGAGGTTGAATGGCCATCTGTCAGGGATTCTTTAGCTGTGATTCCAGCTTTGCAGGGGGTTGAACTAAGTGATCCCTGGGATCCCTTCCTGCTCTTCTATGATTCATTAACACCCTGCATATTTTGCTTGTCTGCCCTGCTTTTGTAGGAGCCTACAGCAGTACGAAGCTATGATCTTTGTCCATTGCCGCACCTAATTGGTTTGTTTGTTTTGCACCAGGCCCTCCCTGCCACCCTTGGCCTGTGCCCTCCTGAAAAGTTTCCTAATGGGGAATCTATGACCTGGGCTGAGAAAAAAGGATCCCTTACCCCTCGCGGGTGGCGCTGTGGTCTAAACCACAGAGCCCAGGGCTTGCCGATTAGAAGGTCGGCGGTTCAAATCCCCGTGTTGGGTGAGCTCCCGTTGTTCAGTCCCTGCCAGAAGTGGCTTAGTCATGCTGGCCACATGGCCCGGAAGCTGTATGCCAACTCCCTTGGCCAGTAAAGCAAGATGAGCGCCGCAACCCCAGAGTCATCCACGACTGGACCTAATGGTTTGGGGTCCCTTTACCTTTACCCCTTGCTTTAGGACATCAACTGGCCATCTCTCTGCAAACAGTTTAAGGGGCTATGGTTGGCTTGATCAGTCTTGTATGCATTGCAGCTGTCTCACTTTTAGAGGGCTACGAGAGATTATTGCGGCATATTGCCAAGGAATGTGGAGTGGTGGTTGTAGCTGTTAGGTAAGTGCCATCTCCATCTTGCCATTGCTCCCTGATTACGCTCTTAAACCCCAAGGCATTTCAGCACCTGTGGAGAAACACCCGCTGTTGCACCTGCGTTGGGAATGCAATCTCCTAAAGGAGTCTCCCCTGCTCTCCTCAACAACAGCGGAAGCGTTCCAGAGAGATCTTTTGCCAGTCCCCCTAGAGACAAGGGAGACCAGAAACGCTCTTTTAATCAAACCTCTAAATTTGAAAAAGAGCTGTTAGAAAATAAGATTACGTTGCTTTCTAAAATGCAATTAGAAATTGCTTTCTAAATTAAAGCATACAAAAGATAAACAGGTTACATCAGCTATGATACACTGGGTGAGGGACTTCGGAAATAATATACAACTTACAGCATGGCAGAAGTTATGGAACTGAGACTTGAGGTTTACAGCATGTTATACTTTGAAAGAAAATTGTATGAAAATGATGTATTGTTGGTACTTAACTCTTAGTAAATTAGCTAAAATGTATAAAACAAGGTCACATACATGCTGGAAATGTAAGGAAAAAGAAGGTAACTTTTATCACATGTGGTGGACTTGTAAAGTAGTAAAAGAATTTTAGGAGATGACATATAATGAACTGGAAAAAATGTTTAAAATAACATTTCCTTTAAAAACCCCTAAACTTTCCTTCTAGGAATTCTGGGTGCCGAAATACCAATGGGTCAGAAAAGACCATTTATGTACAAGACCACTGTGGTTCGGATGTTACTAGTGCAGAGATGGAAAGAAGACATACCAGAGAAGAATGGCAAATTAAACTGATGGCGTATGCCAAAATGGCAAAAATGACCAGAAGAATTAGAAAGCGGGAAGACCAAAATTTTAATAAGGAATGGGAAAAATATATTATTTACCTTAAAAATCATGGTAAACAATTGAAATTATTATTAGGATTGGAATGATGGTTTCAGTTTAATGTTGAACTTTGCTTGTAATGGAGATTTAACAGATTTGGATTAATAGAGAAGAAGCAGGAGGAAAAATGTTAACATAAGGACCCACAAAGGGGAGGAGGGAAGTTCAGGGGCATCTATGGAATTCTCTTTTTATTGGTTGTTTGATCATTGTTTGTAAATTTCAAAATTAATAAATCTTATCTAAAAAAAGAGATTCATTTCTAAATCAGCATATGCAAATGTTATAAGAATCACTGTCCTCTTTTCTCCTTTCCTCCCACCCATGGTCAGATGTAATTCTCAACTGATTTCCCCCCTCCAGATTGATGCTGGAGTACCAGATCACATCCACGTCTTTTTGAAGTGATGCATTAGAATTTCTTCGTTATTCTCCCCATCCCACTCACTTTTCATCCCACTGTTGCTCAGTTTTGTTGTTGTTGTGGTTGCTAACTTTTGGATTCTGCAGCATGGAAGGCCACTTTCCCAACACACCATCTTTGTTGCATCCACAACAACTGCATTCTATAACATGCATTGCTGAACACATGACGTATAGATATACAATGACCATGATACAAGCCAGAGTTTATTAAAGGTTTCATTTCAATTAAGCTCTCTTTACTGATTCGTATCAGTGTGGAGGTTGAGAGAAGCAGCAATTATGTACACTTGAGAAATTTGCTTCCTATATGACACATTTGGGGAAAGTCTAAACAATTCAAAAGACAGGTACATACATACCTCTTGTTACGTTCTGTTCAGGTTACGTCCCACGGAAGTAACGGAAAGGGTTACTTCCGGGTTTCGCCACTCGCGCATGCGCAGACATGCAAAATGACATCATACGCATGCACAGAAGCATCAAATTGTGACCCACGCACGTGCAGACACGGGTTGTGTTCCTTTCAGGTTGTGAATGGGGCTCCGGAACGGATCCCGTTCGCAACCAGAGGTACCACTGTATTTGAATTCTGGACAATGATTTGTTAAGAAACAACCAAAATACTCCAATATTCCATTCCAGCTTCACTGCAGATTTGTTTACTAAATCTTTGGGACAATCAACTGAAAGGTTTCAGTTCTCAGGAATTCTTGATGTGGGTGCTGATGAGTGCCAGAACTTCAACTGACCCCAAATGGAAAATTTACAGGAATTGCAACTTTCGCTCTGGGTTAAAAATATGTGGCGTTTCGCACTAGCTGAAAAATAACACATAAACTACATGTTGACCAAGGCTTGGAAAATCTCAAAAAATTCTAGGCTGCTTGGTCAGATTTTATCACACACACAACAAATGCAGACACACTGGACTCCTTCTCAACATGAATCTTGGCTTTCCTGATGGTCTTAAGTTCTCTACCTGCCTGATTTAAGTCTTTTCCAGATACAGTGGTGCCTCGCAAGACGAAAAGAATCCGTTCCGCGAGTCTCTTCATCTTGCGGGTTTTTTCGTCTTGCGAAGCAAGCCCATTAGAGGTTTAGCGGCTTAGCGCTACAGTATTAGCGGCTTAGCCGGCTTAAAGATCAGAAGCGGCTTAAAGATCAGCTGATAAGCGGCTTAACGATCAGCTGATAAGCGGCTTAGCATCAGCTGTTAAGCGGCTTAAAGATCAGCTGATAAGCGGCTTAGCATCAGCTGTTAAGCGGCTTAGCATCAGCTGTTAAGCGGCTTAAAGATCAGCTGTTAAGCGGCTTAGCATCAGCTGTTAAGCGGTTTAGCGGCTTGGGAAAAAGGGGGGGAAAGGAAAAAACCCTCCAGGAACTCGCAAGACATTTTCGTCTTGCGAAGCAAGCACATAGGAAATTCGTTTTGCGAAGCACCTCCAAGGAAAACCCTTTCGTCTAGCGGGTTTTCCGTCTTGCGAGGCATTCGTCTTGCGGGGCACCACTGTATTCTGCACTGTCCTATTTTGTATTTGTGATCATGAAACACAAAACCTCATTCTCTTCTAGATCTACTCAATGAAAGCAGAATATTGCTGAAATTTTTGCACGACAAAAAAATTGTTTGTAAATTTATAACCTTTAATAAGTTTACAAATGTACTGAGTTAATGAAGACATACACGAACAGCATTCATTGGGGAATCATAGCTATGTCATAGCGTTACCCTGTATACAAACTCAGAACAGTTTCTTCCGAGCTCATTTGGATGCAAACTTAACAATTAAAATCATTAAGCCACATGTTATCATTTTCAGTGCAGAGAGGTGCTTATATAAGACAACCATTGGGGACATTGTTGACTGTAGATCATTCTTTATCCTTTTTTGTCTAGACAACAATCTTTTGCCAGTACAGCTTGTAACCATTAAACACAGGAACAATCTGAACATTGTTTCCACATTTGCAAATTTTCTCCTGGAATATTATTTGATACATATCTTGTGGGGCTGAAATTTTATTTTTCAGGTTGAGCTTGCTTGGTGTATAAGTGGAACTGCAAGAGTTCATCAGCCAGAACAAGGTCAACACCATTTGAATACTCTTGCATCAACATCTCGATGCCATTGTGAACCTGTTCCTCGGTTGTTGCAGGTTTATCAAAAATAAAAAACTGTCAGCCGCACTCCTTTACACTGTTGCTCTTCTGTCTAGGTTGGCTTCCAGAACTACCATGACAGGGATAAATGAATTTATCCTAAAATTGTCTCTTGCAGAAAATTTGTCTAAGGCTTCAGGTGCTGTCCAATCATTGGTGGGTGTTGTGTGTTGTTGTTTTTTTGTACTCCCTTCCTTCTTTTGATAGTTTTGTACTCTGCATCTGATAAGAGTAAATTTTGCTTGCTGTTCAATTTCATCTCAAATCCTGTTCTCAAAATGGAACTGCCTTTTGGTCTTGCAAATATTTCATGATGTCTTCTTTCTAACTATATCATTGTTTTTTGTCCTCATGAGAGAGGCATTGTATGTGGCTCATGGCGGCTTACTCTGCCAGATCAGAGCCCCATTTTCCATAAACCACTGAACAGTTGACTTTGCTTGAAATGCATTGAAAGTGACACGTTCCCTTTATAAAATAATAAGAATAAGTATAATTCTATTATTTATTCCCCAACATGCTTTGTTTGACCTCACCCAGACAAACACCCCAGGTATCTGTGCTTTGGGTTGTCCCTTTTAAAAATAAAATTAAATGGGGGGGGGTTATTGGGTTGTTTTTGTTTTGATCATGGATTTTTTGTTTTTATATTTGTGATACAACGCTCATTGTAGCGTAGAAGCAGCTGTATAGTGGCATGCCACTCGTGGCTTTGTGTCAGAGGCTGTGGACAACTTAGGGTTGTCTGCCAAAAGTGGGAGTTCCTGCACCTCTTTTTCTAGAAAAAGAGCTCTGGCAATTAGTAATTACCAAGCAAACCAATGATGATGATGATGAAGATGATGATGATAATTGATTTGTACCTCGTGGCAATTAGTAATTACCAAGCAAATCAATGATGATGATGATGAAGAAGAAGATGATGATAATTGATTTGTACCTCGCCCATCTATGGGGTGGCCCCAGCCACTCTGGGCAGCTTCCAGCAAATATAAAAGCATTATAAACATCGAACATTAAAAAAATACCTGAAGGGCTGCCTTTCAATGTCTTTGTTTGACATCTGATGGGAGGGCATTCCACAGGGCGGGCACCACTACCGAGAAGGCCCTCTGCCTAGTTCCCTGTAATCTAACATCTCACAGTGAGGGAACCGCTAGAAGGCCCTCGGAGCTGGACCTCAGTGTCCGGACTGAATAACAAGGGTAGAGCCACTCCTTCAGGTATACAGGGCTGAGGCCGTTTAGGCCTTTAAAGGTCAGCACATATATGAGCTGAGGGAGTGAGTTCCATGGTTTAACTTCTCATGGAATTCTACTCACTATTGATCCAGAGTAGATTCCAATGTATAGTTAGCAGTTGTTGTTGTTTAGTCATTTAGTCGTGTCCGACTCTTCGTGACCCCATGGACCAGAGCACACCAGGCACTTCTGTCTTCCACTGCCTCCCACAGTTTGGTCAAACTCATGCTGGTAGCTTCGAGAACACTATCCAACCATCTCGTCCTCTGTCGTCCCCTTCTCCTTGTGCCCTCCATCTTTCACAGCATCAGGGTCTTTTCCAGGGAGTCTTCTCTTCTCATGAGGTGGCCAAAGTATTGGAGCCTCAGCTTCAGGATCTGTCCTTCCAGTGAGCACTCAGGGCTGATTTCCTTAAGAATGGATAGGTTTGTTCTTCTTGCAGAGTCTCCTCCAGCACCATAATTCAAAAGCATCAATTCTTTGGCGATCAGCCTTCTTGATGGTCCAGCTCTCACTTCCATACATCACTACTGGGAAAACCATAGCTTTTACTATACGGACCTTTGTTGGCAAGGTGATGTCTCTACTTTTTAAGATGCTGTCTAGGTTTGTCATTGCTTTTCTCCCAAGAAGCAGGCGTCTTTTAATTTTGTGGCTGCTGTCACCATATGCAGTGATCATGGAGCCCAAGAAAGTAAAATCTCTCACTGCCTCCATTTCTTCCCCTTCTATTTGCCAGGAGGTGATGGGACCAGTGGCCATGATCTTCGTTTTTTTTGAAGTTGAGCTTCAGACCATATTTTGCGCTCTCCTCTTTCACCCTCATTAAAAGGTTCTTTAATTCCTCCTCACTTTCTGCCATCAAGGTTGTGTCATCTGCATATCTGAGGTTGTTGATATTTCTTCCGGCAATCTTAATTCTGGCATGGGATTCATCCAGCCCAGCCTTTCGCATGATGAATTCTGCGTATAAGTTAAATAAGCAGGGAGACAATATACAGCTTTGTCGTACTCCTTTCCCAATTTTGAACCAATCAGTTGTTCCATATCCAGTTCTAACTGTAGCTTCTTGTCCCACATAGAGATTTCTCAGGAGACAGATGACGTGATCAGGCACTCCCATTTCTTAAAGAACTTGCCATAGTTTGCTGTGGTCGACACAGTCAAAGGCTTTTGCATAGTCAATGAAGCAGAAGTAGATGTCTTTCTGGAACTCTCTAGCTTTCTCCATAATCCAGTGCATGCTTGCAATTTGGTCTCTGGTTCCTCTGCCTCTTCTAAATCCAGCTTGCACTTCTGGGAGTTCTCGGTCCACATACTGATGAGCCTTCCTTGTAGAATTT